TGATATTTGAGAGTTTAGATTTGCAACCCACTTACTTAAAAGAAGACATTGAAGAAGGCTCCCAAGTCATGGCTGTCAACTACTATCCAGTATGCCCCGAACCAGAACTTGCATTAGGCTTACCACCTCACACCGATTACAGTTTGCTATCAATCTTACTTCAAAATCAGCAAGGGCTTCAAATCATGGACCAGGATAAGATATGGCATCCTGTCCCAGTTATAGATGGGGCACTAATTGTGCAATTGGGAGATCAAATGGAGGTGCTGAGCAATGGGATGTACAAATCTGTCATCCACAGAGCAACAGTGAACTCGGAAAAGTATCGCATTTCCATTGCTAGCCTGCACAGTCTGGCTCTGGAAAAGAAAGTGGGACCTGCACCACCACTTGTGGATTGGAGCAACCGGTCATCCTACATAGAAGCAAGCTTTAGTGATTTCCTTAACTTCATCGATGGCAACGATATCACGGCAACAAGTTTCATAGACACATTGAAAATAAATCAATGAAGCAGTCAAACGATGCACGGTAACCCCCAGCCTGGGAGAGTTTCTAATAGGTGAATTTTATCCTTTAGATTTTCATTCTATGTTGTTTGCCATGTTGTCCGGCACTACTAGCTAGTAAACCAGCCATCTTTGTAATGCAACTCTTATATGTATAATTTAATAAAAGACGCTCTCTATAACTCTGTACGCACGTTTGGGAGTAACCAAGACTTGTTTTTCACTTCAAGATAGCAATTACATGTTCCACACCCTTAAAGCTTTTCCTCTTTTTTTGGGTGAATCTTTTGACAGGCGCCAAAGAAACTAGTATGTAGTTAATTTATAAGAAGATGTGGTAAACTATGCAACTCAACAGTTAAAGTGTAGCCATATATCACTAAGCAAAATCATTATCAATTATGCTATGAATGCGCACCAGCAATTGCTACCCCCACTGGAAAAAAGTAGAATGAAAAATTAAACATTCAAAATTAGGTTTATTCTTCATACTAGAAACCCATTTTTCCTATATGGGAGTATCATTCCCTCCTTTAGAGAGTTATAAGGAACATCATCATGAACCCCAATGTACTCACTACAGTCAAACACAATGAATATATACATACATACATACATATACATATACACACACACACACACATATGGTCTTAAATTGCAATTGGAATTACCTCTTGTTCACATACAGGGAGAATAGATAATCGATGCCAATCACATGAAAATGCAAACGCTCGATACTGAATTTCAATCACTGAAACTTTAATTTCCAGCCGATCACGAGATCAACTGCTGTAGATCCGGTGTTGTTTATGAATTATCAAAGCAATTGCATTCGTTCTACAGATTTTTGTTATGCAAATATTCCTCAAATCCAAAAAACAAGCATAGAAATTAAAACATGGTGAGGGAGAGAAGAAGAGCTGAAAGAAAATCACAAGGCGCAATTGCAGAGAGACTTTGCCCCTTACGAATAAAAGCCGGTAAGAGTCATCTTCCCCGACTTCGTTTTGCGGTGTATGTTTCTGAGATCCCACATTGCCGTTGCTTTTGGTTGAACTTTCTGATCCTCTGTCGCCATTCAAAGAGAGTGATTATCAAACCAGAGTGTTTAAGATTTGACCACATGAATTGTGAAAAACAAAAAACTTAATTTGAGATAAAGTGACTTAAAAAGTTAGATAACAGATAAAAAATACAGAGTAAGAGTTTGTTATCTTTAAATTATTCGTATTACCTATTGCTTTTTTATTAGAACAAATTAAATTTAGATCAGATCAAATGAAGAGAAGAAACCCTAATTAATTTTTAAAATGATCACAAATGATTGTTACAAAAGCAATAAATAGATCGTAATTCAAGAATGAATACTCCCTCCGTCCAGAAAAAAATTTCCCGGTTTGACCCGGCACGCAAATTTATGTGTGATGAAAATTGTATTGACTTTCCCATTATACCCCTCAACCTATTTGCCCTCTCCACAGCATAAGCCATTTACCGGTGTTGCCAACACCACCGGCGGTTCACCGACCGACCACTCTTCGACACCACTGCCTATGTTCTTGTCACCGCCCTTCCCCTGGCCTTCACAACCTTCCTCTATCGCAATCCCCGTGATTGCAACCCCCTACCCCCGCCCCCCACTTGCCGCTGTCGCAGACCTGCAAGTCCGCAACCCCCGCCATCCCAACCCCTTCACCGCAGAGATCTAATCGGACTTCCCCATGGTAGATCTGGGAAAATGAATTGTCACCTTCGTGGAGATGTAGATCTGGTCAAATCTAGTAGTGGGGTGACAATCTAACTCCGGTGAAGATACAATCCTTTTGTGTCATGGTCCGGGGGAGAAGGAATAAGAAAAAGAAGGAAGAAAGAGAAAAGGATTGAAGAAGCACCAAGGTTCCCATGACATTGGGAACCAATGTCATGGGATGACCCAGGGGCGCTCCGTTGCCCCGTTCGTAAAATTGACGGTTCCTACCCCTTCTAACCCCGGTACCCCCCCCCCCCACCCCCTTCAATTGCACCCCACAAGTTCATTTTGTCTTTGGAGTCAATTTTGACTCCAAAGACAAAATGAACTTGTGGGTGCAATTGAAGGAGTGGGGGTGTGTTCGGATCGGGGCAGGGTGGGGGGTTTACCGGGGGTTTAGAAGGGATAGAAACCATCAATTTTATGAACGGGACACCACAGCGCCCCCGGGTCATCCCATGACATTGGTTTCCAATGTCATGGGAACATTGCCTTTGAAGAAGAAAGAAAAAAAAGACGGGAGAAAACGAAAAAAAACAGAAAAAGAAGTAGAGGAAGCGCAAATTATATTATACATCCGGCTGTACCTAGAGATAGGTACAGCCAGCGTTTAATAGGGGCGAACGGGAAGGAATCAGCGATGAAGGGCGATGAAGGAGGCTAGCCGATGGGAAATTCCCGAGGATCTGTGATGTTGTGCGAATCGACGACGACGATGATGATCGATGATGATGTGAAGATTTGTTCTTCTGTTCGATTTCCGTTCGATTTTGGGATGATGGGTGGTGATGATGATGATGGTGAAAATTTGTTCTTCCGTTCTATCTCTAGGTTATGCAGAATTCAAGATCTTGGGAATAGAGGTTAGGGCATGAACTATGATAAGTAGTCGAAGAATGAGTACTAAATTATGTGGATTTGAGTACTACTAGGTTTTAGAATTTGTATTAGATTATTCCTAAATGAATACTCTAGAACTGTGTGAAAATGAGTACTACGTCTTTTCAGAATGAGTAAATGATTTTTAAAATTAATGCTTATATTGATACGAGAATGAATACCACTTTACTTCAGAATGAGTACTACCTGGATGTACCTATTTCTAGGTACATCTGGATGTACCATATACACTCTCTAGAGGAAGAGGGAGAATGAAAGAATAATTGAATAAATGAAGAATGAAAGAAAAATAAAGAAAGAAAAAAATGACGGAAGAAACGAAAGAAAGAAGATGGGTGAAGAAGGGGGATAAGATGGACGAAATAAGGAGAAAGAAGGGGACGAGATGGACGACATTTGGTTTGGGGGAGGAGTGATGAGGTGGGTTATTGGGATGGAGTTAAGGGTAAATAAGACATCTTACAAACAAAAAACTACCTAAAATAGAAATGAGAAGTTTATTTATGGAGGGACAGAAAACGAAAGTGGGAAGTTTTTTAATGGACGGAGAGAATATGTGCTATAACACAACGTGTATCAATCATTTCGAATTTCAAAATTCTCTAATCGTATGTTTGGAAACTTGAATTTGGATTTCAAATTTTGGATTTGACTCAAATTCCATGTTTGGAAAACTTAAAAAATGTAAATTTGGATTTGGGTTCAAATTTTTCACATTTATAACAAAGCTTAATTTGAAATTCATACACCCCCTCTTGTCATTTGAAATTCAAGATTTCAAATTTTAAAATTGAAATACATGAATTGAAATGAAATGCTACCACATGAATGCTACACACAGAGCCGATAATCGTCTGTATGTGTTTGTGTAAAATATGGAGGCACTCATGATAGTACACATGTGGTGACACTCTAGCATGACCCTAAGTTAATTCTCCAACCACGGATAAACGTTAGGCATATAAGGTGATAGAACAATTGTGGTACGAGAGATCCTTGTTCAAAGATCAATGGGGATATCTTTTCTCCATGTATATACATATGACCTCTGTCCCAATGTATTTGTCGAGTTTTATTTTTTCAAATCACTATTTGTCGTATAAAGATGCGCTTATTTTGTTCACCCCAAAACTATGATGTTTTTTGTTCAAAAACTTTTACAAGGTATGATGTTAGTTTTTTCCTATACTACTCTCTTCGTCCCAAAAAGGATGTTACAATTACTATTTTGACATTTCGATAACTTTTCTTTGTTAACTCATTTTGATTGACCATCTGATAAAATAAAATTTTTTGTCGCATCTTGTTATGTAAAATTTTTGATATACTTTTGAACGGTGTAATTTTTACTTTTTATTACCCTATTAATTTGTAAACAATTTGGGACGAAGGAAGCATGATATAAACATATACAGAGTAAATCGCAAAATAAAAATGGGAAAAAATTAGGACAATCCAAACAAAACAAAAAAAGAAAATAATTATAGAATGGAAAGTATTACCTCCTCCGTCCTATAATGATCTTCCCAGTCCGGTTTACAAGGTTTGACTGAAATTATTTTCAATTCAATTTATTTGATTATAAGTATAAAATTAAAAAATAAAAATTATATATTTTGAAACTACATTAAAAATTCTACAAAACAAGACTATATTATTTTATCAAATAACTAACGAAAATAAGTAAAAAAGAAGTGATTAAAGTTTGACCATGTGAATAATGACTAGGAAGATCATTTTAGGACGGAGGGAGTATTTTCTAAAGTTGATTGTTAATATATTTTTAAAACATTAATTTTAGATAATTGAACAAATTTAGCCATCTCAACAACAATTTCAGTAATTTCAACCACAAGGTCTTGCCAAACTGAACTCTAAGACTCCCTAATGGAGGAGATATTGAACATGTTTGAGAATAGCGTTAGAGATTAGCATCAGCATTTTGGATAAACTTTTAACGGTGTAGATTACTTTGAAAATGTTAATGCTAAACGCTACCCGTAGATAGCCTTTTCAAAACGTTAATGCTAATCTCTAACGTTATTACCAAACAGACACATTGAGAACAAAGATTAGCACATAGACACTATTCATCTTTAACACTATGCATGTAATAATCCAATCCCCACTGGCACAAACAACACACGTTATATGTGCAAGTAATTTTACTGTATCTTTTTTATTTATTTATGTACCAAACCAGAAGAAGGATTTCCCAGACGGCGTTGATCATTTCCGGTGGTGCTTCCCGATCTGTTCCAATTCAGTCAATTTCGCTTTGAGCAACCCATACTGGGACTGCATTTTGTCCAGCATCGTCTCCACCAGAACCATCTCTTCTTTGAGATGGTTGACCTGGTTTTCGATAAACCCAAGCGTCTCCGTCCCCCTCCTCTCCATTCCATGCACGACGCTACAATCGCCTTGAGAAATCACGTGGATCTGTTGTGGCCTACTCAGTAGTACAATTATGCTCAACTGCAACAGCAAGTGCGCACACATTGAAAAAAGAATGTTCCTATTTCTCTTTATACCAAACAATACTAAAAATTCACTCCCTTTCTCGGTAAAAGACACTAAGTGTATGTTTGGTTCAAGGAATTTGAAATGAAAAAGAAAAGAAAATGGGATGGAAAATATTTTTTCTTGTTTGGATAGAGAGGAAAAGAAAAGAAAAGTGGAAGGAAAATGAAATGAGAAGACAAAATATATTAAGAGGAGGGAAAATCAAATTCCTTCCATTTTGGTGAGGAAAATAAGAGAAAATCATTTTCTTTTTTTTTCCTTTCAAAATCTTTGAACCAAACATAGTGTAAAGTTTCTGGGAGGCTATATAGCCTAGTGAACAATAACTAGCTTATACTCACGAATTTCATACTATTAAGTAGTTTTAGTTTGCGAAGTTTCTTATTTTTGTACATCCTTCGCTTACATTATGTTTGGTTCAAGGAATTTGAGAGGGAAAAGAAAAGAAAATGATATGGAAAACCATTTTTCGTGTTTGGTTAAGGAGGAAAAGAAAAGAAAAATGGAAGGGAAAGAAAATGATAAGCTAAAATAAGCTAAGAGGGAAAACATGATTTCATTTTGGTGAGGAAAAGGAGAGAAATCATTTTCTCTTCCTTTCCTTCCTAATTCCTTGAACCAAACATAATGTTAGTAAAATTGGGTGAGAATTGTGCAATAAAGTTTAAGTGTGTTCCTCTTTCGTATGGTGAAATATGTAAGTTGGGGAGAGAAGACATACTCAACCTTGTTTAATACTCCCTGTGTCCCAAAAAGAACCTCAGAGTTTGACTTTTTTGTCAAATTGGACAACACTTTGACCATAAATTAAATATAGTTTTAAATAAATAAATGTTATACAATTTTGATATATCAAAACTATATTTTAAAATGAACTCAACTTTACTAAATTTGCATTAACTAAAATATTTTTCTCACAAATTGTGGTAAGAGTGTAACACAGTTTGACCAAAAAAGTCAAACTGTGATGCACTCTCCCCCAAAAGAAATGAGGCCAAGACCGTTTCCTTATTTTCATTTTCTCACTTATAACCTTTCCTAGATTTAAGACAGAGTGCATGTATTTCTAATGAGGGCATTATTGTCTTTTAGAAATACAATTACCCCCCCCCCCCCCACACACCCACACTTCTTTCTTAATTCTCTTTCTTATACGGAGTTTCAAACATCCCGCTCTAACTCTTAGCTCTCTTTTTGTCTTTTCTCCTTCTCTTTCTCACATAAC